TAATTCTAGCACTAGACCTCCTCTGTAAATCTAAAATGGCAGCTTCTAAAGACTTTTAAAGCGTTGCCTATGGATATTAAAAATGTATGCAGTTTGTCGCCATTGCATGGGGCATGCGCAGTTTTAAAGCATGTCATGTTTGGTATCTATTTACTCGGCATACCATCATCTTTTATATTTTACAAAATAATTGGCCAATATATTGTGTTTTTGTGCATTAAAAGTAAAAAAGGTGTATTTTTTTTCAAAAAAGTTTGTTTGAAAAATCGCTGTGCGAGTACTATATGACATAAAAAATTGCAGTACCCACCATTTTATTCACTAGAAAAGGCTTTTTCCTCAGGTGGTTAGAAGAGTGAATGATGTGTGGCATACACTTCTAATGCTACCACCCAAAATGACCCCTTTTTGGAAAGTAGACACCCCAAAATATTTGCTGAGAGACATGTTGAGTCAATAGGAGAATTTATTTTTTTTACTCCCCAAAATACATTCTGCTACTTCTCCCGAGTATGGGGGTACCACATGTGAAAGAATGTTTGGCAAAATACTCATCGTGCCTCTTTTTAAATTCCTTGGGGTGTCTACTTTCCAAAAAGGGGTCATTTAGGGGGATTTGGTGCTATCCTGGCATTTCAGGGCCTCCGAAACTGTGATAGGTAGTGAGGAAGTGAAATGAGGAAGTTACGTACCTTCAGGCTTTCAAAGTGGTCATTGGATTTTAGGCTCCTGTATGTGACTAGGCTCCCAAAAAGTCTCAAACATGTGGTATCCCCATACTCGGTAGAAGTAGCAGAATGTAATTCCACACATATACCCATGGCTTGTGTGAAAAATATATAATTTAAATGACAACTTTTGTGTAAAAAAAAAAAAAAAAAAAATGTTTTGTCATTTTCCAAAAACGTGAGGGAAAAAATAAATCTTCCATGGAATCAATTTACCTCTCAGCAGATAGCTTAGGGTGTCTACTTTCTGAGAAGGGGTCATTTGGGGGTGTTTGTACTGTCCTGGTATTTTAGCACCTAAAGAAATGTGATGGGTAGTCAGAAAGTAAAAGCTGTGTAAATTCCATTATCTATACCATAGTTTGTAGATGCTATAACTTTCACACAAAGCAATTAATATAAACTTGTTGGAAATTTTTTTTAACCAAAAACATGCAGCAAACTACATTTTGGCCTAAATTTATGATGACATTTAAGTTTTTAGGATATTTTTTATGAAAGAAATGAGAAAATATTGTTTATTTTCAAAATTTTTTTTTGTTTATAGCACCAGAAATAAAAAGTGCACAGGTGATCAAATACCAACGAAAGAAAGCTCTATTTGTGTGAAAAAAAGGATGTCACTTTCATTTATGTACCGCATTGCATGACCGTGCAATTGTCAGCTGAAATAGAGCAGCGCCGAATAGCAAAAAAGAGGCCTGGTCATTAAGGGGGGCTAAACTGCCTATCGTTTTTCTTCAAAATTTTTGGTCTTTTTATGTTTATATCGCAAAAAAAAATAAAAAGCGCACAGGTGATCAAATACCACCGAAAAAAAGCTCTATTTGTGAAAAAAGGATGTAAATTTCGTTTGGGTACAGCATTGCATGACCGCACAATTATCAGCTTAAAAAGTGCAGCGCTGAATAGCAAAAAGAGGCCTGGTCATTAAGGGGGGTAAACCCTCAGGATGGCAAGTGGTTACAGTCCTCCACAATCAGCTGTATTATCAGTTATCTACATAACCCTCCCTTACTGTATCAAAAATGAAAAAAAAAAGTTCTGCCTTTAGTTCTACCTTAACTTCAAATAATCATTCAAGTTCAAATGATTTAAAAATCAGAACAAGAATGGATAATTAGGTAACCACAGGCCTGTAAGATTACACAAACATATCATATTTGTATTTGAACAAGCGTGGGTAACTATCAAAATGTAAAGCATATCTCAGTGCCGATTCACATATGTCTGGTGCACTGGCAGTGCGGTTTCAGTGCGGTTTGAAAAAGAGTCATGTCCAATTTCTGAGCAGTGCGGTCTAGTTCAGGTTTGGCTTACAGGCTATTGACTTCTATGGGATCCGTTTATAGACCACATATGTGTGAAGAGAATAAAATCCTGCCCTAATCCTGTCCTGAACCTGATGTAAACCTAACATGAACCGCTGAACAACTACTGTATGCATTAGCTGTGAAATGTGAGCTTCAATCCGCACTGCACATGTGTAAATCAGCTCTAAAGCCAAACCTTTACTTCAGTTTTGAATAGAATGGTTCAACCTTGATTAGGTATTTGTTTGCTATTTGTGACCCACTGGAGATATTTCCCTTTACTTTCTGTCCTGAAGACAAAAGAGAAAGTGAAAATGAGAAAATGATTTCCCCCTATTTCCTATTTAGGTGACAATGGTAAAACAAATCTATGTCGTACGAGGTTGCTTGTCCCTACACACCATCTGGCCAATTGATGAATGGGGTCTTGTGAGCCACTATGGTGTATACAAAGTGCTAGTGAATAATTAGATAATGAAATATTAAATTCTACTAAAATTGTTGTGAAACCAATACAATGGTGAAAATGAAAATAAAAATTGTGTGTAAAAACTGTGAAAAAATGTGGTTCGCTTATACTCTACACATACTCATACCATTGTGTTATAGAGAATACTGTCAGAAATAGTGTCACGCTCCACTACCAATTGCAATAATAAAATAGTGAGTAAATAAATATTAAATAGAAATTAAATAAATAATAGTCCAGCAAAAAAATATATATATTAATATCACTGCAATCATATTACTGATACGAACATGTCCTTATTAAGTCCGTGACTTTGATACTTCTATGATATGAAATAATAACCGTGCAGTCCACCAATCATGTAAAATCACCTTCACCGGTTGTGCTCTCACCTAGTGTATATGACCAAGCCGTTAAGTGAGGTCATAAAAAGCTTGTGTCTCTTTAATTGGATTTAGTGGTACTGTATATGGATAGGATTATCCCTCTTTTCTTGGGATGGATGGATGGAGTGTTCCCTTTTCCTAGCAGGGGGTCCCTTCGCTTCCTTATGGATTTTCTTGGAGCCCAATGGATGGACGGAAATATCCCTCTTCCCACTAGGGGGGTCTCCTTGCTTCCTTAGGGATTTCTCTCCATAGATGTAAAAGCCATGAAATTTAATAAAAGACTATAGTGCCTTATCCTCTTTAAAATTAATTTATTAAATAAAGTGGTGCACTCACATGTATTACAAGTTAAAACCGCATTAAAATGTTGATATTTGAATCCACAGTAAAGTTTTCCAATGTTTCTAAATACCTGCTGTATATTGCTTTAAGTATTGTGACGTCAGATCCCCTCCCCATTTGGATGTAAGGTAAATAATTGCATTGGTATCCAGTCATATTGTTGTGCGTAGTACATTCCACTCCAATAGGCATTCATTACAGCTGAGCATACATTTTACATATTTGAATAAAGGTTATATTTTAGATTCATCAATTGGCCAGATGATGCGTAGGGACACGCACCCTCATCCTGCATAGATTTGTTATTTGCCAAAGATGATGATTTACAATTAGGGCTTAGTTCAATATACAATGGTAAAATGTTGGATTTTTCACCACTTTTTGTTCTGGTGACAATTCCCACAAGCACACATAGAGGAATGAGTCTCCCGCAGGGGAGGTTAACTGCAGCAGATTGTGGATATCACATCCCTTTTATTTGATATATTGTGCAGGAAGCAGAGCCTGCTTGGCATGTATACCTTGGCTTAACAGGCCTATATCAACATGAGCAAGCTCAGTAAGCTCTGACATGACTCTACATTACTAGCAGCGCACACACTGAATGAGGAAAGTGAGGCTTCCCACCTGTTAATTAGGTGTCTCATCACACAGAGGAAGAAAAAGAGTGTTACGTCACTTCCACTTTGAACACGAAACATGTCATCACTTTCACACCTGCAAATCATGTCGTTTTTCCATTTTCCGCTCCAACCCCTGTGTGTATATATATATATATGACGCACCTGATCATAAGATGCACCTAGGTGATGGACTGCAGGCATAGTACAGGAGATGATGAGAGACTGCGGACACAGTACAGGAGATGACCAGAGACTGTAGACATAGTACAGGAGATGACCAGAGACTGCGGACATACTACAGGAGATGACCAGAGACTGCAGACATAGTACAGGAGATGATCAGAGACTGCGGACACAGTACAGGAGATGACCAGAGACTGCGGACACAGTACAGGAGATGACCAGAGACTGCAGACACAGTACAGGAGATGACCAGAGACTGCGGACATACTACAGTAGATGACCAGAGACTGCGGACATACTACAGGAGATGATCAGAGACTGCGGACACAGTACAGGAGATGACCAGAGACTGTGGACACGGTACAAGAGATGACCAGAGATGGCGGACACGGTACAGGGGATGACCAGAGACTGCGGACACGGTACAGGAGATGACCAGAGACTGCGGACACGGTACAGGAGATGACCAGAGACTGCGGACACTGTACAGGGGATGACCAGAGACTGCGGACACGGAACAGGGGATGACCAGAGACTGTGGACACGGTACAAGGGATGACCAGAGACTGCGGACACGGTACAGGAGATGACCAGAGACTGCGGACACGGTACAGGAGATGACGAGAGACTGCGGACACTGTACAGGGGATGACCAGAGACTGCGGACACGGAACAGGGGATGACCAGAGACTGTGGACACGGAACAGGGGATGACCAGAGACTGCGGACACGGTACAGGAGATGACCAGAGACTGCGGACACGGTACAGGAGATGACCAGAGACTGCGGACACTGTACAGGGGATGACCAGAAACTGCGGACACGGAACAGGGGATGACCAGAGACTGCGGACACGGAACAGGGGATGACCAGAGACTGCGGACACGGTACAGGAAATGACCAGAGACTGCGGACACGGTACAGGAGATGACCAGAGACTGCAGACACGGTACAAGAGATGACAAGAGATTGCGGACACGGTACAGGAGATGATCAGAAACTGTGGACATGGTACAGGGTATGACCAGAGACTGCGGACATGGTAAAGGAGATGGCCAAAGACTGCGGAAACGGTACAGGAGATGACCAGAGACTGCGGAAACGGTACAAGGGATGACCAGAGACTGCGGACACGGTACAGGAGATGACCAGAGACTGCGGACACGGTACAGGAGATGATCAGAGACTGCGGACATGGTACAGGGGATGACCAGAGATTGCGGACATGGTACATGAGATGACCAGAGATTGTGAATACGGTACAAGGGGATGACCAGAGACTGCGAATACGGTACAGGAGATGACCAGAGACTGCGGACATGGTACAGATGACCAGAGACTGTGGACACGGTACAGGAGATGACCAGAGACTGTGGACACAGTACAGGAGATGACCAGAGTCTGCGGACATGGTACAGGGGATGACCAGAGACTGTGGACACAGTACAGGGGATGACCAGAGACTGCAGACATAGTACAGGAGATGACAAGAGACTGCGGACCTTTGGGGAGCAGAGGGAGGGTGGGGAGAGGGTACCCAAATTTGACAGGTACCTGCTCCCACTTCCGCAGAGTTTTACTCACTCAGCATCTTTTGGGACAGGTGACAGGTCCCAGAAGACTGCCGGACCATTCACAAAGCGCAGTGCTTCTCGCACATGCGCAGTGGGCACCAAGCTGTGAAGCCACAAGCTGTCACAGCCGATTACCCACAGTAAAGATGCCGGCGCCGGGGAGAAAAAACAGTGAATACAGCGCTGGACCGAGGAACAAGTAGGACCGAGGAGCACAGAAGAGCCGAGCGGCTGGCACGGTATTCTAACACTGCGAGGCGGGGAATACCAGGCCGGCTGCTCCATATTTGCTCCATAAGACGCACAGACATTTCCCCCCATTTTTTGGGGGGGAAAAAGTGCGTCTTATGGAGCGAAAAATACGGTATACTCATTTATGCTGATATATATCAGCATAAAAGAATACACCCCTTTTGAAAAGTAAGATTTAAATCAATATGTCAATGAACACCAGAACAATTTCCAGAATTTTTACAAAATTGAGTTTTATAGCAAAATGTTCTTGTTTAGCTCATTATATGAAAGCAAAGTTAATAAAACTTAGATTACAAAATCTTCAGTTTTACTTAAATTAGCTGATGCAAAAATTAATACATCCCACAACAAAAACTACTACATCTAGTATTTTTTAGGACCTCCATGATTTGTAAGGTCAGCACCAAGTCTTCTAGGCATGGAATGAACAAGTTGGCAACATATTGCAACATTGATCTTTTTTCCATTCTTCAAGAACGATCTCTTTTAGAGCCTAGATGCTGGATGGAGAGTGATACTCATCTTGTCTCTTCAGAATTCCCCATAGGTGTTTGATTGGGTTCAGATCAGGAGACATACTTGGCCACTGAACCACTTTCACCCTGTTCTTCTGAAATGCAACAGTGGCCTTAGATGTGTGTTTTGGATCATTGTCGAGTTGAAAAAGTGCACAACAATCAAGGGAACGGAGTCATTTTAGCATCTTATCTTTCAATATAGAGCATTAAATCTGTGAAATCATGATACCATCAATGAAATGCAGCTCCTCAACACCAGCAGCACTTAGGCTGTCCCACAAAAGGACACTGCCATGTTTCACTGTAGGCACCATACATTTTTTTGTACTCCTCACCTTTGCAATGACATACAGTTTTGAAGCCATCGGTTCCAAAAACATTTATCTTGGTCTCATCACTCCAGAGTACAGAGCAAATTCTCTCCAAATTCTAGAGCATGGGCTTTAGGAGAGGCTTCCTTCGTGGACGACACCGATGCATGCCATTCCTCTGCAGTGTACACCATATTCTGTCACGGAAAACAATCACCCTAAGTTGGCTTTCTACTTCTTTAGCTAACTGCAGTGAATTTGCATGGCAATTTCTTCAACCCTTCTCATCAGAAGACGCTCCTGTCGAAGTGTTGACATCTGTGGATGGCCTTGACGTCTCTGTGAGGTGGTTGCAGTTCCATCTTTGTTAAATTTTTGTATCACTTTTACGACGGTATTCTTACTGATAAGTAAAGCTTTGCTGATCTTCTTGTAGCCTTCACCTTTCTTGTGTAAAGAAATTATTTTCTTTCTCAGGGCTTGTGACATTTATCTTCCATGTGGTGCCATTGCTGACAGCATGACATTGGAAGGGGTTTTCTTTGATAAGTAACGCCCCTTTATAATCAACTGTCTGCTGGACACCTGTTTAACCACTAGCCTACAGGGCACTTATACCCCCTTCCTGCCCAGGCCAATTTCCAGCTTTCAGCGCTGTCACAGTTTGAATAACAATTGCGCGGTCATGCAACACTGTAACCATATGAAATTTTTATCATTTTTTTGAGACAGATAGAGCTTTCTTTTGGTGGTATTTAATCACCTCTGGGATTTTTATTTTTTCTTAAACAAACCAAAAACCACTGAAAATGTTGAAAAAAAAAAGTTTTTTCTTAGTTTTTGCTATACAATTTTGAAAATAAGTGATTTTTCTCCTTCACTGATGTGCGCTAATGAGGCTGCAGTGATGGGCACTGATAGGCTGCACTGATGGACACTGATAGGTGGCACTGATGGGGAGGCACTGGTAGGTTGCACTGATGGGCATTGACAGGCATCACTGATGAGCACTGAAAGGCAGCACTGATACATGACACTGATAGGCAGCACTGATTAGCACTGATAGGCGGAACTGACTGGCATTTTTAGGCAGCGCTGACTGGCACTGATAGGCGGCACTGACAGGCGGCACTGATGCGCACTGATAGGCGACACTGACTGGCACTGATAGGTGGCACTGATTGGCAGCACTGATAGGTGGCACTGACTAGCACTGATGGGTGACATTGAAAGGCAGCTCAGATGGGCACTGATATGCGGCATTGATGTGCACTGGTATGCACTGATATGTGGCATTGTGGCACTGATGGGCACTGGCACGAGGCACTGATGAGCACTGACTGCTGGCACTGATGGCCACTGACAGGTGGCACTTCTGGGGCCACACTGATCATCAGGGCACACTGATCATCAGTGCCCTGATGATGAGTATATATGTCCCCTCTGCGGAAAGCCGATTACCGGCTCTCCTCTCCTCTCGAGCTGTCAGCGTTACAGCTCGAGAGGAGAGAAATGCCGATAACCGGCATTTCCGTGTTTACATGTGATCAGCTGTGATTGAACACAGCTGATCACATGACCGAGCCGACATCTTCGGCTCTTTCTATGATGCGCTGTGTCCTAGGGACACAGCGCACCGGCGATCGCTGCGCGCTCCCTGAGCCGCGCATGCGCAGTGAGAATGGTAAGACGTCATATGACGTCCTATCAGACGAGAGAACCAACTTGTGCCCGTCATTGTACTATATGGCGGGCGGAAGGTGGTTAATGAATAATTAGACTCACCTGTGGTTGAGTTCTTGTTAATTAGGATTTTGTTGTCTAAAATTTAGCTTTTGCACCTAAGACTTTCATTGGGGTATATTTATTTTTGCAACATGGTCTTGATTGAATTGTTAGGAAAAATACTTTTTTGTGTGTGCAAATTAACAAATCTTGTTTGCAATAAATGGCCCACATTTGTGCGAGTATTTTGTAGAATAGCGTCACATAGAAAATGTTGATTCTGAAAGGAAAGCAAAGGTTTCCTGACAAATCTGTTTGGGTGTATTCATTTATGTGGAGCACTGTATACATAGGTTTTTCATTTTATTTTATTTTATTTGTTTACCTTTTAAACATTTTTTTTTTTACTGTTTTTTTGTTCATAAATGGTCTGGATCTGGTCAGTGGAGACCTGATTTAATCTGAACATGTAGCTGTGCCATGACGAATTGATCCTTATATTGATCTATTTCTGGCTGCAATCAACTAACAATAAATCACTATAGGAGTGAAAAGCTGCTGCAGGGAGAGGCAGGCAGGGGCTTCTGCAGCTTTGTCTAAACCTCCATAATAGGAGAAAATGCTGTGACATCACTTCACCTCAAACGTAATCAAAAAGCAAATAAATTCTGTTTCCCGTGGATCAATGTGAAGCAAAATCAGACGTCTGGGAGCTGACTGTTTCAGCTCCCGAGCTTAGATGCTGGCTGTCACTAACAGCTGACAGTTCCACCTTACATAATGGTTGGGACCTGTTGAGTCCCAATGCCATCTTAAAAGGGACACATAACTGCTGTCCCTGTGCCATTTTAAAGTAGCATGTGGTTGAAGAATAACACCATTTTTTAAAAACATTTTTTGCCTCCCCCAAAAAAATTTCCAAACTCTAGCTACTTACCTTCTCTACGATCCTGCCCTTTCCCTAGCTTCCTCCTCTGCCCATCACTGTGGCTCCTTATCAGACTGAATGACAGACAACAGTCAGCGTCATTTTACCCATTTCTTTTAAGCCCAGTCTATCGTTGACACATTCCCAGGGGGTGAGTTGTCAGACTGCCTGGGCTCACAGTACTCTAGAGCTATCATGTCATTCCCGGCAGCACAGTGGCTAAATGGTTAGCGCTCCCGCCTGGCAGTACTAGTAGTGGTCGGTTTGAATCCCAGCCACGGCACCTCCTGCCTGAAGTTTGCATGTTCTCCCTGTGCATGCGTGGGTTTCCTCCAGGTGCTCCGGTTTTCCTCCCACACTCCAAAAACATGCTGGTAGGTGAATTAGCTCCTGTCTAAATTGGCCCTAGTATGCATATGCATGAATTTGAGTTAGGGAGCTTAGATTGTACACTCCTTGAGGGTTAGGGACTGATATGAATGTACTATATATATATGTAAAGCGCTGCGTAAACTGATGGCGCTATATAAGTACCTGGAATAAATAAATTACATGAGCACCCCTCTGTCCAGAAGGAAGGCCTGCCCCCCCCCGTAGCCTGTTCTCTGTAGAAGAAGAGACATCACCAAGTTAGCAAAAAGACTGCAATGAAAAAGGTAAGTATATCATTAAAAAAAATCCTTGGGGTGGGGAGTTCAGGGATGAAGAGGGGGCTTCTAGGAAAGGGATGAAGTCTGGGAAAGCAGATGATCCCAAACCATGTTTAGATATGTTCTCTTAGAGCATGGAGCTCTAAAGTTTTTTTTTCAACCATTGTTGTTTTACATCATTTGTACTCAATTGTATTTGCAGAGCTTTGCAGATTGCAGTTTCATTTTATGAATTTTCAGTTTGTATGCATGCCTATCAGCATACAAGCACTGCAACTCCTGGCAAGTAGTGGGAGGTGCAGATGGCAGGTCAGGCTGGATGTCTGACACACTGTTCACCACCATTATACTTATTAACTGTCCCAGTTTTGCCAAAAAACCTTTTAGTTAGTTGTCCCGCCATGGCTGTAAACGAAATCACAGCATACCTCCCAACATTTTTGGAAAAGTTTTCTTCTAATAATTATTGAATGAAGGAACTGAGTGTCACATTAGTGGGTGGAGTATGAACGGTAGAGTCCTGCTGCCCGATTACAGTGACCGAGAGCCACCCACTGGTGTGACTTCATCCATTAAATGATTACTAGTAAACACAGCCAGCAGATGACTTATACTACTTGCTTCCTCTGCCTGGCTTTGCATTAGATCACATCATCTGTTTGAGCCTGACATAGGAAGTGAATAGG